ACAGCCACGGGCCACGGTGAATTCAGCTTTACAGCTGATCCTTTTTTGTTTCCATGTTGGTTTTCGTTTTGAGAAGACAGCAAGAACCGGGGTTTGCATGTTCGGAACCCCTCTTCAGGTTGCCCAGTTCCATCCAGTTCCGAGATGTCTTCCAGGTCCTTCGACAAGCCCTTTTACATCAACCTGTGTGGCAACAGAATGATGCAGTCGCCCGATCAAGAAAAACACCATCAGTGAAAACACTGACGGTCGACCGTTGCGGAGGGATACGTACTACGGTCATATCCACACCAGCGGCGCCTAGCGGTGCCGAAGAGCCCGGACCACTCATTGTCTGCCAACTTGACATTGCTAGTGTGCAAAGACAAATTCTTTCGCTGAGGCAACTTGCCAGGCTGTTTGGGTTTTGTTTTGAGGTCGCTTGTCTTTGCCTTGTTCCAGAATATTCCGTGGAGAAGCCTCTTTGAAAGTTCCTTTTGTATTCCAAGTAATGGCAACTCAATGCAGATAATATAATTGTGTTTGAAAAGATTCCTCGTACTGATGAACGTTCTGATCGGGTTTGTGTGCATGCACGGGTGAACTCGATCCGGGTTTGTGAATAGACATATTGAATTTGGCCATGGCAAAACGCGACAGCCTTTCTTTTGTCACAGGTGTCGCCTTTCATCCTGGGATTCCCACTACTATAGGGCAAGGGGGACTGATAACTGGCACACCAAAGCGTACCCAATCATTACAGACTTTGCTCCTGTACCGCTCAGGTACGCCATTATCCTAGCTCAACTTGCCTTGTACGCAGCTGTATTCATCCCCTTCTTTTCCGACAAGGCGGAGGGGTCGGCCAAGTTTGTTGTGGCTGGGTTAGTGGGCTGCCTGGATATGCCTGATGCGGATTCTGAGGGTATTCGTGATGTGATCACGAGCCTGTATGTGGGCATGCTAGGAATTCGGAAGTATCTGCAGATTATACCTCATGTGCATGCTTACCCGCATCAACAGTTCAGCTCCTGCGACATTGACTGCCACTTGTAGGCTCACATGCCGCATGCATTTCTCACCTGGGCGCAGTCGCGAACACCAACGACATCAAATGGCATCGAGTCATGAACTTCTTTGAGAATCCTACGGTTTGTTCATCGCTGAAGAGGAGTTCTTTATCCATTTATATAACATTTGGACTCATTTGGACCCTTGCTTGCCTCCTCCTTGGACCCATGCGATCACTCACGCACTCCGATGCGATCACTCTCGCCGCTCAAAGTCGTTCGCGCCCAGATCCTGGAGTTGGTGGGATTGGACATCGGAGAGAAAGGCGTGGCCACCCAGGTCCCCCACAGGGGAAACCCACACGAGAAACGCGGAGAGAACTTGTGTTGGCGGGGTAGTTGCGGATTTGGATTCGCCTGTAGTTGTGCTGCATCCTGAGAATGCTTACATCCTCCACTGCACCCTCTATGCAACCGATGCAACTGGGACTTTATACTGTATCTCAACTCAATAGGGCCTCGGTTCTTACTCGCCATTCCACCCCATTTTTGGAATGGCTTCAAGTAGATGGCTCAAATCACCCAAGAACAGCATTTGCACTCGAACGATATGTGTACATTGAGTGTGGGTGAAAAAAGGTATGTGCCATGCATTGAGAGTCTGGATTTACTGCATGTTATTCCCAAGTCCACGTGCCTGTGTCCTACAACTGGAAACATGCTCGTGTTTTTTGGACGTTTCGAAGGTCTTTGTTGTTTTGACATGTTTTTACACCGACGTCGCATTCTTCTATAGGACAACCGGGGCCCGGGGTGACATGCACCAGTCTTGACCCCCCCAACAACTAGCTTCTTGTTACTAGTAGGTATACTTGCTCCTAGTAGGACGGCCAGGAGCCTGTAGTAGCGTCCTTCCTCCTAGTAGCGATGCCAGGAGCCACCCAAAAAGGGCAGCTCCCGGCCGTCGCGAGTTCGCCGAGGTTGGGCGATGGCCGTGATTGGCCCCGTGGGCACGTTGATCCTGTGCGAGCTCAGTAAGGCGCGCGAGCGAAAGGGGGGCTGGTGAGGAACGAAGGCACGGGTGGATTGTTTGGGCAAACCGCAAGCGACCGCAAGAGTGCGTGGGCCAGGTAGGGGAGGTGGTGTATGTTGTGTGCTGTGTGTGTTTTTGTTGGGGACTGCCGGGACTGGTTAGCAAATCTGCTTCCGAAGTGATTTTGAGGCTTGAGAATCTTCAGACCTTTGAAGCTGCTCAAGCGATGTTTCATCCTTTGAAGGACTTCTGAAGATGACGGCTACGAGATGTGGACCGTCAAGTCGGTTAAACGGTTTAACAGACCGTTCGCTCCAGGTTTAACAGATGACCGCAAAGATGAGAAGTCCGTTTGAAGGTCCTGAAGCATCGGTACACGTCTCTTTTCATCGCAAGGACTTGCACTTCTCAAGGATGGCCATTTGAAGGGCTGAAAAAGGGCTGAAGCGACGAAGAAGACGAGACATTCTTTCATCCCAACAAGGGGTGACGACGTGCGCGTCCTTAAGTCCTGGTCCTTTGCGGTCACGGTTCCGCCGTGACGGGATCCGCCACGGTTTGCTCCGCAGTGACTCACAGGTTCTGCGTATGGCGTATGACTCGTTGTGGTTTGATTGGTTGCATGCTTCCCAAGAGCTCTCTTCAATTCTCCTGCCCGAATCCTTTCCTTTGATCCAGTGCGCTTTGGCTTTGGCCATGGTTCCACTTGCAGAGAAATTTCCACGTGGACATGTTACATGTCATGTAAAATGATGCAATCATGTAATCATGTAATTGATCCTTTACTTACAAACCAATATCGATAGGAGATCGATCTCCGCAAGCTGGCAGGTGATCACGTACTATCAGATGAAGAACTACCAGAGGTGGTGAGCCGTCTCAGCCGATCCGATCCGTCAGACTCCGCGGAAAAAACCACGACCGAGCCGGATCAGGGCGATGTGAGGCTTGACGGTGCCTGAATATATTATATGCGTACTAAGCCGACAGGTGAATCCTTGTGAAACGCTCATTTTTGAACCATAAAGATCCATAAAGACCCAACGCCGACTCTTCCCTCACCCGACATCCCCCCAAAGACCCACGAGCCATCATGGGCCTACAGGTGACACCATGGGCCTGGTTTTTGGTGATTCTTCACTGTTCCGTTTGCCCAGTAATCCACATCATTCACATCATGGAACCCAAAGAGGATGATCATCCTGGCGACTTGGAACCTCTTCTTCTCTCGCGTAGTTTCGCGAGCCACGTCCGAGGTTGGCCAAGAAGGAGGCTGAGAATGCCGCCAAGGCGGAAGGATCGGCAGGTTGTACAAGGGCATCCAAGAAAACATCAGAAAACCTGTTGTTGGCCAGCGGAATCATGATCCCAGAATTGATTGTTGATTGGTTCCATCAATATGTTTCAACATGTTTCAACCATTGAATTTGAACTCAATTTCTTTTTTCAAGGTACCGCAGGACTCGAAACCTTGCCAGCACCGTTGGATTGTCGACGTACATACATACCATGTTCATTCATTTACCTTGGTTGCCTTGGCTGCCTTGGTCATGTCATATTATATATTCCGCCTCCCACCCCAGGGAAACACAAGAGCAAGAGGCCAGCCGCCCACCAGCGACCCAACCGGCAGAACTTCCCAGGTCCCATTTCTTCAAAACCCAGATAACATGTAAGAAATGAGAAGTTCTGCAGCTTCATGTCCCATTTGGTCCATTTCATGTCCTTTCGCAACCTAGGCTGCGCCGCTGCGCCCCCCCCCCACCAAATCAGGTCATCTCTCAACGCGCCGCCCGAATCTCTCGCAGTTGGAAGCGGATATCGCCGCCACCCCACGGAAGGCGTGCCCCCCGGGGCGTGGTGGCCGATCGCAGGGCGGTGCGCTGTTTAACGCACAACTTGCCATGACGCGCCTTGTGAGAAAACCTGAGATAGTCCTTCCCCATAGAGGGGGACACTCAAGGTTGAGATTTACAAGAATGATCAGAAGGTGGATCATGTGGATCTGGAATGAAGATGGGTGCTTTCAATTTGCTGTGTGTCATTTTGACGAGCTCTGGGCCAATTTGACCCCTTTGAGAGACAAGTGCCAGAGATCATTTGGGTATGTTTGGGTCCATTCGCAAGAGGGCCCTTCGCTTGCTGTGGGGATGTCACTAGATGCTGACTTCGGCCGCCGTCATGTAAAAACTCCGAAAAAAATCCTCAGTCAGATGGAACTGGATTGGCGATGACCGAAGTGAACATAAATATCAAGAGCATAACACATAAATTGGCAATGAATCATAAACGTAACAAACTATTAGTTAGATTCCCACATAGTTACACAACACATAAGCAGAAACACTGTCCAGTTGCCCTAACTGTTTTGGTTGACCACATCCACATCCCCCCCGGACTCTCCATCCCATCCATACCCGTTTTCGGGGGGACGAACCGACTGACCACTGGGACCTCCGCGAGGAGTTCTCCTCCGAGGCCAAGGACGGAGACGGTTGAGGGAGGATTCATCACAATGATGTTGGCTGGCTGATGCTGGATGGTTCATGTGTTCACCGAACTGGGGATACTTGATGATACTTGGTTCGATTTTGATACTTTTGACTCTCTTGTAGTTTTGCGGATGTGTTCTTTTGTACCATGGTTATGTATGAACTTTGAAGTCTTTCTTTGTGTTTGCGTTGGTGAAGACCAAAACATAGAACAGTGGTGACTCGTCGACTGGAAAGCAACTCATTTCGACGTGTTTCCTGATGTATCGGCGACGAGAGAGACACCAGGCAGGCACAAGGTTGACATATTGACATAGACCCCACTGCTTTGGGCTCTCACAGAGGGGTAGCTGGAGATGGGGCCCTTTGGAAGGTGGGTTACAAATCCGGAAGCAGACCAGGCTCTAGATTCTGGAGTTACCAAAACTCACCAATTGGAGTTACCTAGAACGGCCTTGCATCTAACTTTCCGGCACTGCCCCGCGCTCTTACTTCCCAAGACCCCCAACACCGCAATCCTGGATACCCCTGGATCGACCCCAAACAGATGATGCTGGTGAACGATGTTTTAGTGAACCCTAGTAGAACATTTGGCCAGCGGCTCCGCCAGGAACCGTTCACTTCAAGCTGAGAAACCCAGTCTGGACTGAACCTGCGGTTTCAGCCTCACTGGCGGAAAACACCAAGAAAAACAGTGGTTTGACCATTTGGTTTTCATGCCCACCGGACAAGCTGTCGGACAAGCTGCTAAGACCTCATGTCAATGTGAGACCGTGTGCCTGTGATGAATCATGTTGGCCTTTTCGGCCTGGTCACCAACATGTAGCACTGGACCTTCCTTTTCTGGTGAACCATGGTTTTTGAGATGTTGTGAGCTACAGGTGCAAACAGGTTGTGACATGAGTGCTAAACTTGATAAAATGAGCATGTGGTGGCAACGACGCAGTTCATCTTCAGATCATTTCAGTCTGCAGTGATAGAGTACATAATGAACTCGGTCGCTGGTCGGAGTCAGCAGTCGTGGCATTTTCTGATGTCCACTTTTTCTCTCCCAGGGGGCCAGGGGGAGGCCTCAGAGATGATATCATCCACCAAAGCCTTTGCTTTGAGATTGGACAGCCACCAAAACAGGGGCCTTCTCACTAGAGCGACCAAGAGGGTAGCTAGGCTGGAGGATTCCGATCGTTTGAGAAGATGGGATATGTGGATTTGTTTGGACCAAAACCTAAGTACAGTAATATATATAATATATATATATATCATATACAGTATTGTGCATCGTTTTGTGGGGATAATTTATGAGATGCCTGGACATCCATCTTTCAAGAGGACGCCTGATCACCCACATCAAGAATCCCACTGCAGGGCTGATGTCATTTGGTACAGACTGGCCGGAGGTTTTTTTTTTGCCAGTTGCTCACATGGATGGACGCTCAGACAACATTAAAAATATGTTAGTCTCATTCTTCAGCTTGAATCTAATACCCTTCACAGTTTCTATCAGTTCCTAACACAGAGAGATTTTCAAGATGAGGACAGCTGCTTTTTTAAAAGGTGCTTGCAATTGCTTGCACGTGCTTGCAACATGTATAAAACTTGGTATGTAGATATTGATATTGAAAACACTTTAGCAAAATAAAGGCACCATGACTCTTGCAAGCTGCAGGATGCTGTAGGCGATGTTTCAGTGACATCGATTCTTTGGTGTGTACGATGGCCCCGTCAATTGAGGCAAAACAGCATTTTGGGCCAGGGAAGCAAGAGAAGTCGATTGGAGGTGCTTGCCAAGCAGCTGTAGATATGCAATAAATTATATGCATACTACTCCTCGAAACGGCAACCTGCTGGGTTGACCACGCGTGGATGACTTTCGAATCGTGGATGCCACGACCGGACTCGAAACGAGCCGCCCAGGTGTCGACAAGATCGAGAAGGTGGAACGGCCACCTGCCGTGCGGCTTTAGGCGGGGCGATCGCTGTGCTGTCCGAATAGCCACGAAGCTCGCCCAGCTGGACCAACCTCCGTGAGGCGTGAAGAGATCGATGACCAGACTCTTGAGAAAAGTACTTTTCAACAAGCAACTCCAATTCAAGTGAAGTAGGATGAAGTAGCTTTGGCGGTTCAGGCCTTGATTCAAGCATCCCTGGCTCCCAAACATGTGAACACAAATTCACTCAAGTTTGGGAGATTCGCGCAAGTTCCAAGACCTCACATTCCAGAAACAATGACGCTGCCATGATCCGTAGTTTTGACAAGACTAGACTCCAAAAGATCAGACATCTCTGTGGGTATTTCCTCTAGAAAATGGGTTGAACGACCCCTCTGTGCTATTATCAAAGAGATTGATCAGACCATATTGTTCTTTGATCGCTATTAGGTTGGAGGCCATCGCTATTGAGAGCAAGGACGCTACTAGGGGCTCCTGTCATCGCTACTAGGAGCGATCGGACGCTACTAGGGTGGAGGCCATTACTTTGGATTTTTTGGACCCCATCGTTGAGTGACTTGCCGGAGCTCTAAACGGACGGTTGAGCTCCCGAGCTGGGTGGAGGTTTGGCCCAATTTGAAGCGTTTGCAGTGCACCGGTCGACGTAGAGAAGAGGCACTGACACAGAGAATGGCATGGCCTTTTGTGCACCTTGTGCATCATTTAGTGTTGCTGCTTGCAAAAAGAACATACAAGGTTGCTGCTTGGTCAAAGACTGACTGATCCTCTCTCGGGCACGAAGGCTTAGAGAAACCACTGTTGGAACACGTGGAACATGTGGGCGTTTGGAAAGTGGCGAATCAGACCGTGTCACAGAGTTCGCATTCGGACAGCTATAAATGCCAAAGACCATTCGCCACTTCTCCCAATGCCGGGCCCAAAAAACCACGGGATCAAACCAACCAAGTCTGGCGCGTGTGGTGGAACCGGCCCAAGTCTGACCGCCCAGCGAAAAAACCCGAACGCACTGCAGAACCGTGGGCGAACACCGCTGCCCCCGATGCATTCGGCTCCTCTTTTTGGGCGCTCCGATCCAACCCGTCCAACCTGCCGCTGGTTTCGAGAACGGGTCACCGGGTTTTGGGGATGATATCAACGGTTGAGCTGGTGGATAGCCGGGTGCTCTGTATGATCATTTATAGTTATATGACAGGAATTCATAGGGTTTTGACCCATGTAGGGGACATATCCTGTAGTCAGTTTCTATGGGCACGAACTGTCATGTTTTCTTTGGAAAGACATCGAGCACGATCAAGGACTAACTGATAGAGATAGGATGAGATAGAGAGAAGGAGGATGGATCGAAGGAGGATGCGCCAGTGAGGAGACAATTCAATTGATCTGGAAGATCAATCTTCTGCTGGAGGCAGAACACAGAAAGTCTGGGTGTGTCTTACAATGGACCCTTTCAAATCATTCAGTTCGGGTTCTTGGCCCCTGAACAGGGGTCCGTATTCGACACACCCAGCATGCTGGAACAGGAATGACATGCCTTGTGCAATATCAGGAATGGACGACATCCTTGCCCTCCGACATGGGGGGCCATTGGCCATTCAGTCAGCTTCTTGCTTATTTCTGCTTTTCCGGTTTGGGTCAAAGGTTTAAGCTTACCCCCAGGCTTGCTTTTGGATGATTAATGATGATTTTGAGCGTGCTTGGCTAAATTGTATATGCACTCCTTGACCACTTCAGAACCACAAAACTTCTGTTCGTTGGTGACCTACAGTCGACTCGATATTCCAGCGTTGCATCTCCAGTGTTTTCTTGTGGCTGACCGTGCTAGTTAAACCATGTACCCAATCAGCATCCCGACGGCCCCCTCCATTCATCCGCCTTGAAGGGTACGCTAGCTAGTCGTCGGTTCCAAAATCAGGACCCCCGGACCTGGAGGCTCTCATGCTTTTTTCCACAAGTTCGGAGGGCAACCTCTTATACAACTTTGAACTGAGTGTGTTGGTAGTCTACTTTCCGTTTCACAAGGGGTTTTCAACTGGGAAGACCTTCGATTTTGAGGCGTGCAGAATATACTTCAAAGGTACCAAAGGTATCTCCAAGACACCCTGCGAATTATCACTTGTGTGGTCACTGGAAAGATATCCGAAGTCAACTGTCCTGGCCACTGCTGGGCTGTGCCAGACTGTTCAAAACTCGGAGAAATCCATTCCTGACATTCCACTAGGATAGACAAGAGCGGTGGCGTGAACATCGGGTGAATCAGAAGAGAGAAACGCTGATCTACATGACCACTGCAGTTCATTTTCTCTGTGAAAACAAGTGGGAAGGAATCACCGCCAGGGGTTGATCTTCAACATTCGACCCATTGGATTTGGGGCCTCCAAAATTCACCCTCCTTTTGGCTGGAAGAACACACCAAATCGAATTGATGTCCGGGAGGTCTACGACTGACTCACAGTTTCTTTGAGTTGTTCTTTTTGGGTGAGGATTTGCCTCATCCTGGTTCGGTCCACATACTGTACTACATTGTATAATCTAATATCATGAGTTCACCTGAAAACAAGAGTAAAACACCGAGCACTCACCAACTTGCCATGATTCCATTTGACCCGCATTCGCATGCGCTTCTGATCTAAGAAGCTGAAGAACTTTTGAACCTCTTCTCCCGTCTCCCAGATAGTTTCTGAACTGGATCGGCCGGAAACCCTATCAAATGACACGCAGACATGGCAGGCATGGTGAGCACTAGATCATCCACATCTGTCTAGGGACAGTTCTGGACACCACGCCGCAAAGCATGCAAAGTGGATGAAACCGTCCCTCGTGGAGAGACCTTTTCTTGTTTTCTTCTATGTATAGGTACATCATGCAATACTCTGAATCTCTCCACTTGTATATGGCACATCCCAAAGCAGATCAATCTGAGAACATCTGAGAACCACAAAGTAATCACGAATTCAAGAAAATACACAATTCTCATGTGCGGACGCCACTTCTTTTGTTGTGCAGTCCTGCAGGGAGGTCCTATAGAGGGCGGCATCATGAGGGCGATGTGTGCGCGTTTGTGAAGCGCGCAGCTGCGTGTCCTGGCCATCGCCATTCAGACTAGCTGCTCAAGTCCATATCACTGCAATCTATAGGGAGCCTTTTTAAAGAGAAAAACACACACGTTGGAGGTCTTGTCCCCTCCAAGCACATCATTGGGTTTGCATCACTTCCATCACATTCACGATGTTTCGCCACGACCTGTGTCGAGAGTTGTTCGATCCATCAGAGCTCCGGATTCACAAGGCTTTTTGCACATGAGGTCCCTCCGGATGTCCGAAAAGAGGCTTTGTTGCTTGGTTGCTTTGGCTGACAGAGTTGCTTGGCCACGTTCCCTGGAGTATAAAGAACCTCAACTTAAGGGTCAGGAATTGTCATGAAATCGCAGTTCCCCGCAAGAAAGATTGGTGCTCTACCTCCAAGAGGACTACTGCACCCGACTTCATGAGACGCACACCCGACTTCACTGCGGTTTGCGTCGACCAGTTAGACCCGGGAGTTGGATCAGCCGGATGATCAGAGAGGAGAATTTCTCATTGCAACCTGTAGACGACCAAGAAAAGCACCAAGCAGAGTGTAAGATGCTGCACACACACACACACACTAGTAATATACTGGATATGTTCTTCTGTACATTTTTGTTAATACTACTTTGCTGGATGTGTTGGTGATGAATTAATGTCCTCATGACCTCTTGACCTTTGACCTTCAAAAACTGCGGCTTCAGGGCTCAAGAATCACTGTGTTGTTCTTCGATCCATTCTTCGAAGTGGAAGCACTTCGATCCACGTGTCCCTCAGCCGTCCTGAAGTGCACCCGTCCTGGACCGCCTGGTGGAGCCGGCGAGAAGGGTCAGACATGGTCAGACGTGGGACGTGGTGGGGGGAGCTGGATGTGTTCGTTCTTGGTGGATGCGTTCAGGTTGATAGAGTCTGATAGAGCATCATAGAGGATATGCATGGATGTGCATGGATAGATATGCTGCTTTCTGGTACTTGGTGCTGTTGATATGCGTGATTCCAGTGACCATCCAGTACATGAATCCAAATTTCCCAGTGACATAATGTTCACGGAAAAGTTGGGGGTCCTTGGACCAAGTTTCTAGATACTCAGATACTGTAATCAGCCTCATTGTAAGGAGCAGATCAGCTATCACAAGCATAATCATGCGGCAGCCAATAAGGGATGGTTGAGTTTCCATGCGGAAATGACCGTGGATGGACATGGGCAAACTCACCAAAACCACAATAGAAGAACGCACCAGAATATACCAGAATATGTGCTGTTTTGCTGAAAGGCTCACCATCCGGACCATCCCACAAAATCCGACAAATGTGGCTGGTGTGTTTTGGGCTTTTCAGGCAGAAGATCGATTGGTGCGATTTGGGTACTTTTTCCCGGAGAAAGTTTAGTAAGGAATGAAGGTGACTGGTGAATGTTGTTTCTCTGACGCCAATCCCATGTTTGGACGATTCGCAGGGTGCGTTTCGAAGGAACAGCCTATTTCAAGTGCAAAGACACCGCAGATCGGTCTTCTGGAGCATCAGTGCAGTCAAGAACTAGGACGTCAAACAGAACCTGTACAGGCAATCACGGCCAGTTCCTAGTATATACTGTATATATATATATAGATCTCTTTTTATGGCCAGTCAATGTATTGAAATTATTTGCATTTGCCATGCCTGAATGATTGTTGTGACTGGAGTTGATGTAGTCATGTCAGAAAGACTTGTGTGCTCAAACGGTTGGGTTATGAAAAAATCCTTGGTCAGAACAAGAAGCAGGTGGGAGCTGGATTCTCACTGCGTCTGCTAACAAGAAACCATTGAACTTGGGTTGGCTTCCTGACCTCTTCTTGCTTTAGCCCTGAGGTCTTGTGAGGTGTTGTGGAGAGGGTTGACAGCCAAGCACAGGTCTATCTCCAAGGATCTAATGACTGTCTTCAAGGATCAACTCATCAATTTGGCTTGGAAAAAGGGTGGACCTGCATACGAGTTTATATACCAACCATGAAATGCCCTACAATGACAGATATGGGTACCGGTCATCCCACATCTAAAAGCAACCTTTGGGTCGGTTCTCGCAATTTTCAGACAAAGCAGGAGGATGCAGGGTAGCTTGGCTGAGTGGCTGAGCCACGAGTTGCTCTAGATGACATATATTATATAACGTGTTTGAAAGATGATGTTCCTGGATTCCTGCATGAGGTAGGTGACGTGCCTAGTTTGCTGTTGGGAGGTTTCAAATAGGGTTGATTTGGGCGTGTTCTTTAGCTAGCCATTTGCCAGCTGCCAGCCACCCTATGCAGACGTCCATGCAGCTTGCTGCTGCGCTTGATGTTTTGGAAGTACTGCATATCTCTAATTCGCCCAGAGACGGCACCCTTTTCATCGGTTTCTGAAGTTGTGATTCGCTTTGCAGAAGTGTGGTTGCAAACAAGGTCCATGGGGGAGCTAAGGATGTTGTTGGAGCTGGTGTGTGAGTCAGGAACCACTATCAGGTCAACTGGTGAATTGAAGAGGAACAATCCAAAGATATCCAAAGTACAGACATGGATGAACTACCACATTACCACACTAAGTGACGCTAATTAATACCATGTATCCGTCCCGACTCG